TTACGGACGAAGAAACCGCGCCGGCTCGCTTGTCAGGAATTTCGTTCCGCTTTTCTTGCCCGGCGCAGCTCGCGTACTTGCCCGATGCCCCGGGATTAGTGTCGCGCTCCACCCGCGATTAGACACTTTGCCGGTGTCACGCTGTTCTTTCGTCTCTGCTGCGATATTAACCGCTCGCGGGCCAGGCTCCTTTGATGGATGCGAAATATTTCAACCCTTTACGCTACAACCAACCAGCCTGGCTGCCGTAACAAGTAAAGACGATGCACACCGGCTATCAATGCACGGTGCGCGAAGGATTAACATTTTGCGGTGTTGCCGCATACTCGACTTCTTTCGCCGCTCGTACACCTCTTTGGAAATTATGCGAAATTACGCGAGTGAATTTATTGCGACTTCCTGCCGTTTTTATTGCAACGGTTGCATCGATTAATAAATTTATTGCATTGCTCTCTATGTATGATTGTTTATAACTTCGACAATTTTAAGGTAACAGGGGTGTAAATTTAGCGTCAAATATACGCGACCGCGACATGCTTGATCGTTGGAAGGGGAAGTGGTCGAACGCGAACTATAATAATTTCTGCCTAAATTGCACACAAAAATGGACAATATGCGAAGAGGAGACGCGATCATTCAAGCCTTGCGGCTCGTTTTTATAGTTACCGATCGTCAACAACTATGAAAACGACCCGGAAGACTGGAATAATCGTAGCTCCTCTTCCCAAATTACTAATTTTTGTTTTCAAGCGTAAGAGCGTCGATTAGGGAGAATTTACTGTACAGCAAATTCGCTAAAATTGTACCTCAACTGGAATAATCGTAGCTCCTCTTCCCAAATTGCTAATTTTTGTTTCCAAGCGTAAGAGCGTCGATTAGGGAGAATATACTGTACAGCAAATTCGCTAAAATTGTACCTCAGCTTGTAAACAAAAAGTGGACAAAACGGGGAAGATATTCGAACCTCGCAGCTTTCATAGTTGTCGATTATCAACAAGTATAAAAACGAACCGCGAGACTTGAATAATCGCGTATCCCCTCCCCAAATTGTCCAGTTTTGTTTACAAGCCGAGAGAGAAAGCTTGTTTATACAATTTGAGAGAATTTGCTGTATCGGGAAGCGAACTATCGGCTATAGAACGCTGCATTCTTTCCGGATCGTCAACTTTTCTGTGTACACAGGGGACACGCGCCAAGTTCCGATTGAACCGCCATAACTCGGGAAAGAGAAATATTTGCCGCGTTATCGGCGGTGTTAATTAACTATGAATTGTAAATGAGCTCCAATCTGGACTCGGGCGACTCTCTACATACGCGAGCGCATATGTAGAGAGGGAAAATCATAGGGAAATAAAACTCGCGCGATGGAAACGCAAGGTAAACGTTCGAAGAACGGCGCAAGGGTTTGTTTCGATTGTGACCCCGCTGAGCGGTGCCTAGGGGGGCGAGGGTGGCCGCAGAAGGTGGCTCGTTGATCGCCGGGGCCCTTTATTAAACTCGCAACCCGACTGTCGTCCCCTGCCTCCTCCTCGTCTCAGACTTGTTGTCAAGTTTCAAGGTGAGCTCACCCCGAACGACAGCGGCTGCTTTCAACCCTTATCAGACGCATCTGATTCTGACACGTGATTCGAATTTACCGCCTAGCCGGGGTGTCGGCGAGACTCCTTAAAGTCGTCACGCAGCTTATTACATCTTCGAGGATGTCTGACCTGTCAGGGTCCACGGGTGTCTGGCCCCTTAACCAAAATTTCCGCGTGCTCGAGGCAGCGCCGGGGGAAGAAGACCGCGAAGAATTTTCTGGTTGCTCGAGCGTGTCCACGATTCGATAATTATCTCGGCTTGCTACAATGTGACGTTGGATTGCGGATAATTGTGGTAGAATCAAGGGGAACAGGCGCCGTCCATGTTTTTTAGATAGAAACACGAATTTAGCCGCATTTAACACTAGATTTACATTTATGCCATTTTTACTCTGAATGCAAGATAGTTTTTCTCTCTTACGGTAAATTTTGCGAGACTTGTGACTCGTTATGATAATTACACTTTTAGCAGACTTTAGTCACCACTCCAATTCGAAGGGTTAAGAAATCGTGCTGTATATATACATTGCTCTATCCGATTATTACTCGTTCTTCTCGTTAAAAAATTCTCTCCGTGAAAAACGGTTTAAATTCGTAAGCGAAATAGAAACGCACCTTGATCAATATTTTGCAAATAAGCCTCAACAATCTTGGAAAGACAGCATAATGAGGCTTCCTGAAAGATGGACGAAGGTAATAGAGCAGAACGGTTCATATATAGCTCGATAAATCAACCTTAAGCAACAAATATCGTGTAATGATTTCGCATCAGAAAAAAGGAAAGAACTTATGGGACACCCCAATATATATATTATCTATACGTATTTTTAAAATATCTATATTTTAATTGAAGGCATATTGGCTGTAAAAGTCAGCAGTTTTAGACCGCGACGGGGATTAGTACGCGTCAAGCTGGATCCTGCGCCACCTCCTTTAGCTACTAATAAAACAATTAACTAATAACGAGAAACAAAAAACCCCAAAACACGTATTCTCCATTCTAACACAAGCCTAAACTACTCATGTTTATATTTGGCCCGACTGACGCTCCGCGGCTCTCATTTCTGGCCCGATTTTTTAACCACGTCTCTCAGACGTGATAATCATTTCCGGCCCGATTATGACCACGTCGCTCACACGTGATAATAATTTTCTGGCCCGATTATGACCACATCTCTCAGACGTGATAATAATTTTCTGGCCCGGTTATCTGACCACGTCTCTCATACGTGGTTGTAGGGCAAAGGGTTAATTAGCGACAGGATCGCGCGCCGCGCCCGTTCTTTCCTTCTGTTCGACGAGTTACGGGACCGTGGTCCCGCGATACACGCAATAACACGTGCAGCTGTTCAGCCTCGTTAATTATTCACGCGGCCACGAGACGACTCTCGCCGCTCGACGAAAACGGGCAACATAGTTCCGCGAGAATAGATGACGTCTCTACCCCCGGGGGTTGGAAACTTTTCTTCAGAAACGACGGGCCAATCTTTCTCCGGCCCCGGCGACCGCATCATTCCGCACGCTGAACCGAACCATTCTCCTCTTGACGGCGGAGCAGAAGCGTGTGCATCGAAGCTAATGGCGCGACTCCCGCCGATCCGTCTCCGCGCCGACGGCCTCCGTCTTCCTCTCCCTTTCCCTCTTCCTTCCTAATATTGCTCGGTGCCCCCTCCGCCGAGCGAATCATAATTCAAACGACCGATTCCAAGCGAGCCGGCATCGATGTATTTCTATTTTTTTCTTTCCTTTGCCCGTTGTTAGGAAATCGTCGTTGGATGTCTCCGCGAACAGATTAATCGTACACGTTCCGGACAGAAATCCGGTGACACGTGGCCCAGGCGCAAAGAGGCTCTTCTGTTTCCAGAAATACGTCCATGAAAACGGTTTTTCGGTCCCGTCTCTACAGCGTGGGCAAAAAGTCGAGTGCACGTGCACGGAGTGATCCTTAGCTTGGAGATAAAAGAGCGGGTACATTTAAGGGATATTATCTACCTTTCGACATAGACGATGCTCGATAAAGAAATTAGTGTCAAATATATTTTGTCTATTGTTCAAATTTTAGAAAAATCGGTGTATTCGATTTTATTGTCCCGCGTCTGATTTTTTAAAATTTTAAATCAGATTTATTTTAGTCAGAAACGTTCAACAAGATTTCTAAAATAACGATTGAAAGTACATTTATTGACATTTTTTAACTTTAACGTAAATGCGGCACGGATTTCTGTTGTCCGATTGCTTCTAAATTTTACACACGTCATTTTCTCTATGTCCGTAATTGTTCATCATAATTTTCGCATTGATTGATAACTTTGCAAGCTATCGAAGGGCTGACCGAATCATGGATTCGAGAATTACCGATTCATTAATAGTTTACATGAAAATAGAGATTATTCTAGTGATATAAATTAATTATTTATGATAGAAATGTATAGTTGAAACACAAAACACTGGAATGATTAATAAACTTTAAGGACGCTGCTGGACGTATTTTCAACATATTAGTTTTGTTAAGAAAGAAAACAAACTCTTATTTCACTTTAGCAATTACAGTAATGTCACCCTAATTGACGCTCAGATTGTGCACAAAAATGGACAATTTGGGAAGAGGAGATACGATTATTCGTGCCTTGCAGCTCGGTTTTTAAGTTGTTGACAATTCGAGACTATAAAAATGAACCGCAAGGATCGAATAATCGTATCTCCTCTTCCCTAAATTGTCCATTTTTGTGGACAATCTGAGCGTCAATTGGAGAGACATTACTATACTACGATGACAATTACTATTGCAATCGAGGCGAATGATTTTTACGTATCTCCTTTCCCTAAATTGTCCATTTTTGTGGACAATCTGAGCGTCAATTGGAGAGACATTACTATACTACGATTGCAATTACTATTGCAATCGAGGCGGATGATTTTGACGTTACACAAAGACCTCGCTGATCATCGAAATACAAAATGCTTGGAGACATCCACTTCGGCTATCACGCCATCAAGCTCAGAAATGTCGTAAAATCGAAGTAGCTCGTTTAATCGAATGAAAATTGAGAAGCGAAGTCGCGATGTCCAAACGTCACTTACGTTTCTAACATACTAACGTTCCGTTTCGTTCGTCGTCGACGATCCCAATCAAATTAAGACTATGCTAGAGATCAGCGCGAAAGCTAATTTCCAACTCTGAACAAATCGATCTCGTCGCACCGCAGAGAAAGTGTCGAGACGGGAATAAAATAGCGAATCCGTAAATCTGAATTTGAGAATCGACCACCCAGTATAGCGACCCGACTAATCGCCGATGACCTCCGGCTACCGAGAACAGCGGCATTCCACCTCAGCCTGAGGAGATAAGGAAGTCTCGGTCGGCCCTCTGAACGAGATCTTTATGTTCCGCGTGTCGGTATAAAAATATCTGTCACGCCGCTGACCGGACTTGCATTATTTCGCCGGCGAGCCGCGCGAGTTGCACGCGACCGAACCGGGGAAGAAGCTCTCGGCCCGTTCACTTATTCACCGTGAACCGGAGCGAACCGATCGCGAAGCGTATTCCGAATCTTTCGCCGGGATCGTTCTTCGGTCTGCGCCCTTTCGACGAACGCTCCTCCCGAAAAAACGAAGGTCGCGGGACCACGAACCTGGCGCGGCCGCGATTGAAAAAATTGAAACGGTGTTTAACCAGCGAGTGTCTCGCCCACGTCAGACGGCGATATCCGGCCAGAAGATGCGTCGCGTTTGCCTGTTACTACTGTTCGCGGTCTCGCTGATCCGGCAATTCACCGCCGGATTCAACATCCTCGGGATCTGCCCGAGCAGCAGCTACAGCCACCAGCAGCCTTTCCAAGCATTGATGAAAGCTTTGGCGGCTCGCGGGCACAGCGTCACCGTGATATCAACCATCCCGTCAAAGGCAAGTGATTCTCCCCCGTGTCCCCCTCGGCCGATATCGCCCCGCCCAATCGAACCCATCGATCATACGAGCGATATCATTCGACCGCGGCCTCGAACCGCGCCGTCAAACAGGTCGTAACGTCGCGGCTCCTTTCTTTTTATCCCGGAATTAATGAAGTCGCAAAGATGTGAAAAATTAACCGCGCGCGCCGTTTCCTCCTCGGTCCGCGCCGCGGCTTAAGGATAATTTTATTCCGGCTTTTTTACTGTCATAGATAATATTAATCCTGGGGCCAGGGGCAGTGCCCGAGTTCGTTTTAATCCAGCGTTTAGCTACTCGGTTCCCGGCGATTCATTTATTCGGCCCTCGGTAAACGGACGCGCGCCGGTTGCTATTCAGTTTTATAGCTCGCCACATCTCATCGGATAATTTTCGCTTTAATCTCGAACCGAGCGATCCGAAAATATTGAAAAAAATTCTGCCCCGTTCCGTCTTTGCCGATCCAATGCGATGCTCGTCGCTTCGAAACGGCGCAGCGATTCGGTCGCACAATTACGCCGGAAGTTTGCCTCGTCCGTTAGCGCGAATGTTATCGAAACGCGCGGAAAGACGGCGTTAACCGGTTAGCTGTGGTGCCTACATCTTAGAGCGCGCACCTATATGTGTCGCGATAATCAAGCGACGACGAGTATACTCGTCAAACACGATGTAAGTGTAGCTGTTAAAATATTTGATCAGAAAGGCGGTTTTATTTGTTAAAATTAACAATTTTATTACTAATATTTACTTAAGTAAGTAAAGTAACTAATATTTACGCAAGTTTTTTTAAACATTTCTGGAAGCAAAAGATCTCTTTTCGGTTAACCCTTAACCGGACTGTTAATTACTATACCAGTTATTGTTTCAGTAATTTCAGCAATTCTTTCCAGATTAGTAAGTGCAAGTAGGTTTACTTTGAATCATTGCAAACTTGACCAGTCAACAGTAACATATATGTCCCAAAAATGTCTCGCAATCCGAAAGTGGCGGGTTTCTCAGGTCATTAGATCAATGGATCAAAAAGACGGCTTTATTTGATAAAATTAACAATTTTATTACTAATATTTACTTATTCACTTGACGTTAACATATACCATATACATAATAAACGAAAAACCCGGGGATAATCGAATACTTATAAAAGTTACAAATTCAAATTGCTGCTGTAGAGAGAGTGGTATTTAGCAAAGCAAGGAACAATATACAGGATGTTCCAAAAATGTCTCGCAATCCGAAAGTAGCGGGTTCCTCGGGTCATTCGAAGCAACTTTTTCCTGTACAAAAATTTTCTCCGGGGCACCGTTAACGAGTTATTAACGAAAAACAGTGACCAACGAGAGGCGAGCTCAGCTGGCGCTAGGCAGCCGAGCCAACGGCGCCAGCGGTCGAATCCCGGTTCCGCTGGCGCGAGGCGGCCGAGCCAACGGCGCCAGCGGTCGAGCGGTCGAGCGGTCGAATCCCAGTTCCGCTGATTGGCTCAGTTGCCTCGCGCCAGCTGAGCCCGCCTCACATTGGTCACTGTTTTTCATTAATAACTCGTTAACGGTGCCTCGGAGAAAATTGTTGTAAAGGAAGAAGCTGCTTCAAATGACCCGAGGAACCCGCCATTTCCATATTGCGAGACATTTTTGGGAAACCCTGTATAATGGCACTTTGCACGTCAAATATAACGAATACCGTGATTCTTTTCTAATTTTACTTTTATAACAATGTAAACAACTTCGTGCAGGATTGGCCTGAAAATATTCTGAACATCTTGAAACTTGAGAATATGTTTTTGTTTTCCTTAAAATTACAATCTAAATAGCCAATGGTCGCTACTTCTTACGCACGACGAGTATTCTCGTCGTGTCACAAAATATTGCCATTTCTCCATGACGAGTATACTCGTCGAACACGGCTAACTGGTTAAAAGAGCTACGACGATTTAATAATTCGATAATATCGCTCGGACATGGGGGAAAAGTTGTTTCGAACAGATGTTTGACTGGGACCCCGGGTCATCGAGTAGCAGGCGTTTCTCTCGCGCCTTCTTCCCATGTCCCCTCGCAGTCCATTTTCCCCCGTCTTCGTCCTCCCCGCCGCCCTCGTTCACCGACCTTCGACGAAGTTCCCGGCTCCTTGTCCCGCGCAACTTCCACTTTTCTCTGTTCCCTCTCTCCCGTATCTTTCTTTCCCGACGCCCCCTCGTCTCCTCGCTCTTCTTCCCGATCCCCCTTCCTTCCCGTCCATAAACTAGAGTTCAAAGTTACGCAAACTTCGTCCGGCTTCAATTTACCTTCGCTAACATTTCTCCTTGTTAAATGCGTCCCTCTTTGCGGAGTCCTGCAGGCCCCTTTCGCCGCCCGCCCCCTCGCGGCCACCCTGTTTCTTCGCCCGGAGAAATCAAGAGTTCGGTTTCACATGTAAATCGGCCGCAAACATCGAGAGCCCCGATCGAGGGATCCCCTGGATCGTGTCGACGGCCGGCCGTGAACGGAATTCCTATGACCGGCGCCGTCTAATTCTTCCAGGAGCCGATCGAGAACTACGAGGACGTCGATTTGTCGTTCACTTACCGGAAGTCGGACTGCACCGGCTTGAGGTATGCACCGGCGTGTACGTGTGCTGCACGCGCGCGCGTGTCCGCATCGCGGTGGTGCAGCGCTCGGTGTGTTTACCACGGCAGTATCGCGACCCCGACCACCGAATAACGCAGAAATGAAATTATCGATTTTCCGACAGGCACATGGGACCGTACACCATTCTGCGGAAGAACATGCGAGAGGCGAACGAGCTGTGCGAGGAGCAACTGTTCAGCCCGGCGATCGAGGGCCTAATCTCGTAATGCGGATATATTCATTTCGTTTAAGAACCGGCTCGCATGCCAGCCGCGGCTGTAAAACGCCGCAGAAAACTCGGAAAAAAATATTCATTTCGCAGCCTCGTTATTGCCGCAACGGTACGGGACACCGATAACCGCCCCTCTCTCCCGCCCCTTCGCGAACCAAATTGCTAACGTTGTTCGCTCGCGAGAAACAACCACCGGAAATTACCCTAATTCCGTGCACGACGACTTTTCATCTACAGGGTGCGCGACGCGTGTCGGATGTTTTTTTTTCGTCCCTTCTGTGGACAATCGATACGTATAGAACATTCTGGGGCTTGAACGTGTTCGTATTTTTTCGGACGATAACGATAACCGATTAGTGGACAGCGGATTTTTGTGGAGAATAAAAATTGCTGGTATTTGTTGCAAGCATCAATATATATATAGCTCCCTTGATGCTTGCAACAAATGCCAGGAATTTTTATTCTGCACAAAAATCCGCTGTCCACTAATCGGCTATCGTTGTCGTTAAACATATCTATCACGGCCCAAAAGAATCCGTCTTCTTGCAAAAAAGAAGATCGCTAAAAGAAGCTGAAATGTTGGCCACCCCTAATATTAATATCTAGATATTCAACGGCGGTCGAAATCAGCCGGCGCAGAGCTGATCGTTTTACGGCAGTGTCGTTTTCAGGAGGAACAGAACGTTCGACGCGGTGATCATAGAGCAGCTATGGTACCAGTGTTATTACGCCCTAGTCAAGCATTACAATTGGCCGGTGCTGATCGGATTCCTGAGCGTGGGTAACCTGCCGTACGTGATGGACTCCATCGGTAAGCGCGATCCGCCCCCGCACAGGGCCAAACAACAATTGGCTTAAGCGAACCCGCGGCGCGAACGACCGGCATGGAGCTGGTCCCCGTGATCGTCCCGCCTTTGTCGATCCCGCCGTGCTTTCCACGGGAACGGTCGGGCCGCTCCACGGTGGCCGGAAATTGACATAGATTGTCTGCGAAGCAGAAAGTGCGAGCAATCGGGGAAGATGGTTCCGCGGAAAAGGACGGATCGCACGGTAGTGCTTTAACATGTAGCCATTCCGAGTCGGCCGGGAAATAGATCGCGAGACACGGAAGCCCCGCTAGCGGCGAGAGAATTATTACCGTCGCCGTCCGAATGCGAATTTAATAGCCGCCGCTCGAGTGCGTCTACTACTCGCTTCTATCTGCTCGCGCGCGGCCCGAGCGGGTCCGCGAACCCGCGCGCGCGCGCGCGCGTCTGGATACAATTGCGTTTCGTCTCCCAGGGAACCCGGACGACCCGTTCCTCAACCCGGACATGGCGTACGCGTTCACCAACAGGATGACGCTGCACGAGCGCGTCCGAAATCTCCTGTACACCGGCTGGACCAGGCTGTACTACAGGCACTGTCACTTGCCGGCGGTGCAAAAGATCGTCGACAAGTGGACGACGGGCGTCTCTGTCGGCGACGTCGACAGGAACTTCAGTCTCGTGATACTGGGAAACAATCACGTGTTCGGCTACCCGAAGCCACTCCTGCCGAACGTGATCGAAGTTCACAGCCTGCAGATCACCGACCAGCACCAAGCCCTGCCCAAGGTAACTAACGCCCCGGCAACTTCGCCATTAGTGTTCGGACAGCGCCGCGTCTTCCCCCGGATTGGTCCAATTCGACGACACCGAGCAGAGTCCGCTCGTCTTTTTCTCGAGTTCGTGGACGCGCTACGGAGATGTCTGGTCGTTCCGGGGACTTTCGCCGCGGTCCTATGTTAACCCGTTGGCGCTGCAACAACGCGTCGAACTTGTGACGAAGATTTTATACGTAACGTGCTCGATGGATCGGGTCGTGAATAAGTTTCGTTTCTTTGTCGGGCATTTATTTTGTTCTTTTTTTGTGTTTTTTTCTTTATTTTATTTATTTTGAACCCTTATCTATTCAGCGAGGGCAAAAGCTCGTTCGACCCGGTGACTCATAATGGGTAGATGAGAACAATAGATTCTATCTAGGTGCATTGGAAGTTATATATATATTCATAAACATAAATTAATAAATAAATATGAATTAATAAATAAAATATGTATTATCATACATATATTATTTATATGTATTATTTATATTCATATTCATTCAAAA